AGAGAGAGAGAGAGAGAGAGAGAGAGAGAGAGAGAGAGAGAGAGAGAGAGAGAGAGAGGGAGGGAGGGAGGGAGGGAGGGAGGGAGAATGTGGATTGGGTGGCGAGGATCTCTTCGACGGAGGCAAAGGAGGATGTGAGAGAGAGGAGGGAGGCCGAAGATTGGACATGCAAGCATGGGCAAGCTAGTGGGAATATGGTGGTGTGGAGTGCAGAAGGCGGAGGTTGAGTGGAATGTCGGACGACTGTGAGTTGTATGTAGATTATGGGAACGGTGGAGGGTGGCAGGGGGGTGGGGTTTGGTCGTTCCGGAGCAGAGAGATGAAGAGCGGAGGGAATGAAGGATCAAGGGAGTAGCGCGACGGAGGACGCAATAGGGTTGGGGAGCATGATTCAGGCTCAGTAAATGCCACGAACGAGAGTTCTTGTTCCCCGAGGGAGTGGGTGAGAGAGGTGGTTATCAGATGGAGGGTTTTACGTAGTGCATGTGGATAAGTGGGCGGCTTGGCGTGTGTTCGCACTGTAGGCGACGTCTGGTTTTTGTACTTTGTAAAAAGATCACTCACGGGTGATGGCACTTTGGATTCTTGCAGTTCTTTTTCTAGTACGTGGAGTTGTGGTGGGACCTTTGCTCCCTCCCTGCCGTCGACCATTGTTATGGCCTCGACTGGTGTGTCTGCTCTCTGCCTTGCTCGCTGGCGAGGGATGTTACTGCCGGTCTCTGCCTTGCTTTCTTCTTCGGGAATGACACGATGCTCCCTTTCCGGTCGCCCCTTGAACGAACGGGTTTTCTGTCTGTGATATGACTTGAAGCGGAAAGAAAGAAAGAAGGAAGGTGAAGTGGGAGGAAGGTTGCTGCCCCCTCCCAATCCGTTAGTTTTCACTTGTTGTTCGGGAGAGATTTTGAGCTTATGGAATGGGTGACTGGACCAGTCGTTATTGCAAACCCGTATGGAAGAGGCATGAAGGCACAAGGGCACGATGGAGGGGAAAACCTTCGAAGGAGGGCAAAGAGAGAGGGGGGGGGCGGATTCAACGCAGAGGTAATCTTGCTGCTAATGGTGGTGGTGGAAGAAATGATTCGTTGCTCTCTAGGGTGAGGAGGTGGAGGTGATGATAATGGTGGTCGCGGATCGCAAGAGGAAAGCAAGGAAGGGAACACATCCTTGAGACGGACATAGACAAGGGTAGGGAAAGGAGAGAGGGCAAGGAGGGACGGGACGGGTCGGGTAAGAAGGGCCATTGTTTATCTTATCTTTCCAGAACGTTTTGTCTGGGCTCGTTTTAGCGAAACGATTGAATCTGTGAATTAGTCACTTTTTCTTTCCAATCCAATGTTTTTATAATTGTGGTGTCGACGAAGCGAGACTGCTGCAGTCTCGGAAGTTGTAAGAAATGCGATTTTGTTATGGCTTCTCCATGTTTCATATCCCTCGGATCGGGTGTGCCAAGACTCTTTAGTTATAGATTAAAAACAATCTGAACAAGCACAAACACTATTTGAGCATCTGCTGAGCATGGGTTCACATTCCGTCTGCTGATCAGCGAGTGAGTCGGAGGTTATCATTAGACACAACCGCGAACGTCGACGCATTCAAGACACAGAACCAAAAAAAGAGTTCGTGTGCGCACGCAGATGTGTGTGTGTGTGTGTGTGTGTGTGTGTGTGTGAGAGAGAGAGAGAGAGAGAGAGAGAGAGAGAGAGAGAGAGAGAGAGAGAGAGAGAGA